ATCATGACTTTGGTTTAGGGGCTCAATTCTGAGAAACACACTTGTGTAGTATTGCCTCTCATCTTTAATATAAAATATAGTTAACTATTAGCAAATTAGGATAAATTAAGCAACTAGTTAAATTAGTTATATGCAAAAACTATGTATTGGTTTTCATAAAATACGTTTTTTAAATTGCCTGTATTGAAATTACCCTTTAATGCAAACTTCCTTAACATATGTAATCAATAAAAATAGACAAGCAACAAATGATAAATATAAAAGATAACATAGATTGAAATCTTATATTTGAGGTCAAATTTGACTCCAACTAAACTCTTATATTAAGAACCCAAAATAGTATAATGCTTTATCTAATTAAAATCCATGAAAAATTAGCAGGTTACCTTAGTCGCTGTGGTATATTATACAGCATTTGAAAATTAATGCTACCTCTATTTTTTATAGTTCAAATTAAATTGCAAACTAAAATCTTATACGACCTCCGATCTTTAGTATAAAAACTAGTTAACTAATTTAAATAGATTAAAAAAATTTGTTAAGTTATTTATTTATAATAAATAGTTGTTGTCTTTATTAAAATAACCTTGCTAATCATGTGTGTTAGCTAGAATTATCATGTGATCAAAACTTTAACATGTGCAATTACTATAAAGATTGTTTTGAAAAAATAGATAAACATGAAAAACAAAACAAATTGGAATCTTATATTTATGACTAAATCTAAAGTTAAACTAATTTTTATATTAAAAACAGAGATAATATTAACTAGAGAAGGTAGTAATAAAATTTTACTAAAAAATAATAATAAATTTAATTATTTTTTAGAAAAAGGTAATGGCTTTACCTGGCAGTCAACACATTAGGTGGGCTTGGGGCTTCCCGAGATAGTAGAGTAGATAATGACTGCCGTTCACTACTCCCGTATGAAAAAATAGGTTAATGTTTAGTCCCTGAAATTTGATATTATTTCTTGTTATTATTAAAATTTGATATCATTTTAGTTTATATTTTTGAAATTTGACATTTTAATTTTGGTTATTGAAATTTTTTTTCATTTTATTTTTATTCTGTAAAATTTTAAACAAGTGATTTTAGTTCTTGAAATTTGATTTTATTTTGATCAAGCTTAAGATTTTCGGTCCTTGAAATACAAACCAAAATTAAAATGAGATTAAATTTCATGGATCAAAATTACTTATTTTAAATTTAAGGAACTAAGACTAAAATGAGGTTCAATTTTAAGAACTAAAGATAATATTGACACCAAAAAAATAGAACATCTCATTACATTAAATAGAATCCACTCATCGATAATAATCACAATTGTATGCAAATCAGCGTAAAGACATATCCCAAATTACATCATAAATAAAACTGATAACATAAATGAGAATCCATATGAAAACAAAAGATATACCTGGTAATAAAGGTTGGCTCATCACTGGCTGGAGCCCTTATAGGTAGGTCCAAAAAAGACTGCCTCTTGCGGGATATTCAGGCAATCTGAGCTGCAAATGCCATCCTTTCTTTTTGTTTTTTTTAAAACATTTTTACATAAATATTTTTAAATTTTTAAATTAAATTACAAACTTTTGTAGATTAAATTCTCCTCATTTTTATATTTTCATATAATTATATAATTAAATTAGTCTCAAAACTTGAAAATATAACCATATAATCCTTTTTTAATAGTTATTTTATTAATATAAAAATGATAAAACAATAAAGAAAATGAGAAATCAAACTTAGAATCAAAGTTTCTAACAAAATACAATACTATATTTAAATTAAGTTAAAATAATAATTTTTTTAATTAAAGTAAACACAGTAAAAAAAATTTAAAAAAAGAAAAAACGGACTAGCTTATGACGAGTTGTAAATTGAAAAGAACTATATTAAAACAAGCTCACATTTTGCCAACTCAACTTACTATTTTTTGGCAACTTAAACCTATAGGCTCAATCTAAACTACTACCTGGTTTCCTAGAACAACTTCACCTGGGAATTAACTAAAAGAGATTGCAAATACCATAAATAAAAGGAAGAGACGTCTAAAGATGATCGAGAATGATTAAATGGAAGTAAATGACTTTTTGGTTAGGAAAGTGTGAGCCTACTAATCAAGAATAGGGCTGCCAAAACCAAACAGCGCATAGCTAAATTGGTAAAGATGCTATGCTAGCTTAGCTTAACCGGAGGTTATAGTTGCCTTACATACTTGTTCGGATGGATATTTGGGGGGGGGGGGGGGGAAGCAACTGTCAAGAGACTTTGAAGTAGCAGTATAAGTCGAACATAATGAACGATTGGGACTTAAATTACCATTAATTTTAATTAATAATGAAAATTTTAATTAAAAATATATTTATAAAATGAAGAAGTTGCCATAATAATATGCAAAAATAAAATTTTCGTTTAATTTTTTCCAAATTTTTTAATTTCCATAACTTTAAAGCACTTATTCAATTGACATATTTTTAATAAGGTTTGTGTATATTGCAATTTTATTCTCCCAATATATAAAATGTGATTAATCTAGAGCAATTCATTTTTTTTTATTTTGTGTGTGTTCATTGGTATAATTTAAAATTGTTTTAAAAAAATGTCAACTAATAAGTTTCTTAAATATTTCAAGATTTTGGTTTAAGTGAGATTTTAAATATACATACTAAATTTGACACAATTACAGCTTATATATTACAAATAAATTAGAGAATATTGTTACAATGTAGTGAACCAAGGTTCGGGATATGTACCCACATTTAGTACACTATAGTGTATCAAATATGATTACTTCTAATAGGAGGATACCTATACGTAATGAAAAGAAAAACTAAAGAATATTGACATTATGAAATGTATAAAATTATTATTTTTCATATGCATACGTTAGTACAAAAAAAATAGAGCATTAGTGACAGAATTTAGTGACAGAATTTTATTCCGTTGCTTATCCCTCACAAATTCCGTCCCTAAAATTAGTAATGGAATTTAGTGACGGAAAATTTCCGTCGCTAAATTAGTGAAAGATTAGTGACGAAATTTTATTCTGTCACTAACTTAAAGACATATTAGTGACAGAATCTTCTTCTGTCACTAAATTCTGTCACAAGTCCCTTGCTAATTTTGTTTTAAATGATTAGTAACAGAAATTAGTGACGGAAAAATTTTGTCACTAATTTTTGTCACCAATCAGTCATTAACTCTCATTTTGTGACGGAAATTAGTGATGGAATTTTTCTGTCTCTAATTTCCGTTAAAATTTCGTCACTAATCCATCACAAAAAAAAATGTATATAATAATTATTTTTTAAACTTATTATTAAAATAAGAATATAATATATCATAATTTTTAAATAATGTATTATATAAAAATTAAAAATACAAATATTATAAAAAATAAAAATATATGATATACTTATTATTTTGTTAAATATTTGAATAAAAATATAAATTATTAGAAATTTTTTACTGAAATATAAAAATTATATTCAAATAAATAATAATATATTAAATTATGTATATAATATTTATTATGTATATTTGTATTTGTTATTAAAAATATTATATATTTATTTTTGTAAAAGAATTTCGCAGGTGCTTTTCGGCTCAATTGGCAAAGGCTTTAGCATGTGCAGGAGGTCTTAGTTTGAACCAACACTTCTTCGCAGATTGGCTCAATTTGTGATGTTGCGATGATGTGGATAAGACGATGACATGGCGGCTCATAATGATGGACATATGGTAATGACGTGGATGCTATGATGACGTGGTTGCATGGGAGAGAGGAGGAGTTGAGGTGGCATCCAGTGAATGGACACGTGGCGATGAGGTGGACGAAGAGATGACATGGCAACATGGGAAAGAGAGAGAGGAGCTGGTGAGGTGGCAGCCATCGATAATGTGACAGCTCATAGTGATGGACACGTGGCAATGATATGGTATTTTAAATTTAAAAAATAAAAAAAATTAGCGATGGATTAGTGATAGAAATTTCCGTCACCAATTTGTAACAGAATTTTCTATCACAAATCCATCATTATTTTGTGATAGAATTTTTGTGGGATATCCATCACTAATTAGCGATGGATTAGTAACGGAAAATTTCCGTTACTAATTTCAGTCGCTAATCCGTTAGTAATTCGTCGCTAACTAGTGACGGAATTTAATCCGTCAGTAATTCGTCGCTAATTAGTGACGGAATTTAATTATTTAGTGACGGTAGAATTAGTGACGAAAAAAATTCCATTGCTAATTTCGTCGCTAACTGAATTCCATCACTAATATGTCACCAATCCGTCGCTAATTTTGATTAGTGACGAAAATTCCTTCACTAAATTCCATTTCTAATTTGATGTTTTTTTTAATGCATACATATTTCTCTCTCAAACACTTCACAACATATCTCTTTTAATAAAATTGGTTTGTATACAATATTCATAAAGGTGACCAATGGAAAAAATCATCAAGGGCGTGACGCATTTTATGTGTCAACATAATGTCTAAGAATTCATTGACATCAAAAGGAAAAACGTAATTAATTTGTTATATAAATTCTTTCTTTTTTTCTCACTTTACATGAACATTTTGTGAGCAAGAAAGAAGTCAAATCCCATACATTTACTATTTTGATACACTCCCTCCGATTCTATCCTATGCATAAGATAGTGTTTTTGGAGTAATTAAGTATATAGTTCTACTCCCTATCGGAAAAAAGTATATAGTTCTATTTATAGGATATACTTAAAATATCTCTGAAAATTTAATCAAGTTTTTTCATTTTTTGCCCCCATTAATTGCATGTTTTATATATATATATATATATATATGATGCTTTCTCACATACCTCTTTTTCCTAGTCATTCTCTCTCTTCATAAATAAATATATTTTTCAAAAATAAAATACAATTTTTACAAATTTTTTGTTAAACCAACTTTAACCAACATTTTGATCTACATAATTTGGTTTTATATCTTATATATAGGATTGAAGGGAGTAACATCCAAGGATATTCCGACTTATTGAAACCATGATTAGAACATACAGAATATATAGAATAAACGAAGAACATGATTTATTATTCAACATGTATATATGACATGGATCAAATTAATTTTCATTATTTGAAAGATTCTAAATAATTAAAAATCTTCCATTATTCAAAAGATTCTAAATAATTAGAAAACAAACATTTTCCAATTCCCAAGCCCTTAAACAAATAATGGCGGATCATCCTCATTCTTTGGCCCAGTTAATGAACTTCTTGAGATTCTCCGAAGATCGACCCCCTTCAGCAATATTATTGATGACGGTTTCTTTCCATTTCAAAGAATTCCCTCTTATTTCTTCATCTCCAAGCAACTTCTCCATTTTTTTCTTTATCTCCTCCCTTGTTATCAATCCATTTTCGTCCTTATCCAATCCCATTCCAATCTTCCATTCATCACAAATATACGCCTTATCTTCTTGCTGATCGCCAAAAAATGGCCAACACAAGAATGGCACACCACTGTATATGCCATCTATAGTAGAATTCCAACCACAGTGACTAACAAAACAAGCCACTGAAGGATGGTTCAGAACCTTCCTCTGTGGAGCCCAGTTGACGATTTTACCCTTGCCACCTTTGAACCCTTCTGGGAATACGTAGTTATTGTTTGACTTGTCAGTGTTACCAGGTCGTACCACCCAAAGAAAAGGCTTGTCTAAAAGATCAAGTCCAAGTGCAAGTTCTTTGAACTGGTTTGGCTCCATTACTGCTAAACTTCCAAAGGAAACATAAACGACAGATCGAGGTGGCTGCTGGTCGAGCCAATCGAGGCAGGTTTGATCTTCTTTCCAGAATGAAGTTGTATTTTGGTCTTCATCAGGTAAAAGTGGGCCGATTGATAGGAGCTTTGGTGACATTGAAAGTGCACCAGGTTCGAGTTTGTAGGTTGTATTGCAAAGCCACCATTGTCCTAACCTTGTTAAGGTTTGTGTCTCTTGTAACGTGGAGCCGAAGAAGGACTTACCTAAGGTTGTCCATGGTAGGTTTGCTGGGTCCATCGTAGGCATGTTTGGGGCAAGCTGAATTTCGCGGTTTTTCGTTGGTTGTCCTGCATGCATAATATTTCCAAATGAACTAGATACTTAAATTGGGTATGACATGACATGATAAATGCAACAAATAAGTCTATATATAATGCTTCTCTCATCCTAATAAATGCAAGAATTAGTAGACTTTTGCTCCTAAATATAAGATTTCCATTCATTTTGTCCTTAAAATTTGAGCAAAATTCATCTATCTAAATCTGTAAAGGACCTATATTATTAATTGATACGTAAAAATGAAGTATAAAATAAGATGCAACAAGTTATCAATGACAATCTCTGAATAGATCAAAAGTTTTTATTGAAGAAGTGTCGATCTTTATCTTCATTCACATCACTTAGGTTTGTTTATAAGCTATAGAATTCTTTTAGGACATTGCATGTCTGTCATACAAGCAGATTTCCTTGATGATGCTAACTGATATGCTTTCAATTAGGTTGGTAAGCTACTTTACGAAGTTTCATACATATAAGCAAGTCAACGTACGCATTTGAATTGATGAGCAAAAAGTCTTACCAGTTTCGGAATCGATAATTCCATCTTGAATCAGCCTTTCAATGCAGTAAAGGGAAGCCACAGAAGTAGCAGAAGCAGGAAACATGACAGCCCCTTTGATTCCTAGTCTGTGACCAACTTCTAAAGCCCATCCCATTATCATACTAACTATTATGCATGAGATCTGACAATCTTCATTCCCATTATTGACTTCTTCAATGAGCTCTGGAAGCTTTTCAGGCATGGTGGTCTTGATCGATTGCACAAGCTCTATTGGCTTACTTCTGTCATCTTCATCACTCAAACCGTCCAGCAGCGTCACCATGTTTATGGGGTTCTTCTTCTTCTTATTGTTGTGTTGGTCAGAAGAAGAAGTTGCAGCCATAGCTTGCTTTTGACTGAACTCTGTGTTCAGAAAAGTGACCTTGCAGCCATGTTTGGCCAAAACCTGAGAAAACTGCATCAGAGGATTCACATGTCCCAGAACTGGGAAAGGTATCACAAGAAAATGAGGGATAGGGCTCATCTTTGCAACGGAAGTAGAGAGGATGATTGAATTTTGAAGGACGGATGGATAAGTTCTTAGCTTACTATATATATACGCGCGCGCGCACAGAGTGGGAAGTGAGAATGGTCAGAACTGCCGAAATGTCTTAGGCATATTATCTGACTTGTGCAAGCAATGCAAATGTCGACATCTTAAGGGATCGTGACAAAATTTTCTTTTGATCAATTAGGAGTTTATTATTTATGGCTTTCTAATAGAATATTCTTTGGGAAAATGACATTGAGGTCCCACAGAACCAAAAATACAGCAAAAAGGTCCCCTGAAATCCCATAATTTTTCTGAAGTCCCAAAGGGACTTAGATGCAATTTTCAGAATCTGGAAATTACCCTCTTGCCCTTGCTTATGAGATTCGAAAATGCTGAAAGGAGATTAGAGCCTCTGTTTTTTGTTTGACCGGAAGAAAGCTGAAACCCTGTTGTGCTTTTGTGCTGCTGGAAATCCGATGACAACCCATCGCGGTGCTCAAATTCCCCTCACAACCCGCCGAAAATCGTGAGCCTTCATGCTGGTTGGTGTGTGTTGTGATTTAAGTTGGGTGTGTAGAATGATAATGGGTGCTCTGTTTTTGGGTTGTTTTTGGGTGGTTTTCCTCTGTTCTATCATTAGTTTAGTGGCAAAGGAAGAAAAAGATGAAGGTTAGTGAGGGTAGAAACCCTTAGCACGAAATGGGACTGTGTTGTCAATCAGGCCGTGATTGTTGTCAATGTGTGCTGCTACACTTGTCAATATAGCTCCTTAAGTTGTCAATGACAGTTGCGTGCTTCTTTATGCAGGTTTAAGTTACTGATGGCAAGTACATCTGGAAAACATCTATTTTGCTTTGTTCACATAGGGAGAAAGTTTATAAATGATGGAGAAGATAATATGAGATATGTGGGAGGTAGTGTAAGAACAACCAATGTAAAGGAGGGCACAAGTTATGAAGAATTGAAGGAAATTATATCATCAATTGCTGGAAAAGAAAGCAACTCATTTCTTTTGAAATTCTCAGTTGTGTTTGATAAAAAAACTTTTGTGGAGTTGGTAGATGATGATGGGGTGGAACATTTGATAAAGTTCAATGAAGAAAGTGGTCATGTGTATGTCGAAGAAAATGAAAATGAGGACCACATAGAAGCAACAAGGGATAATACAATGGAGGAGCAAGATGTGTAAGTATAGTTGAACAAAACTGTAAATGGGTGTGAAGGGAATTTTTTGTAAATGGATACACACCAATAGTTAGTTTCTCGTAATTACATGCAACCCCTGTGTTTTTTTGGGATGGGTTGTGAAATAGGTGTAGTTTCATGTATATGAAGGTGTAAATGAAAGTTGACTATGAATTGGCATGTTAGATTCTGCTGTCATTTAAGTTGTCATACCTGCACCCTGTATTGTTATTAGACCTGTTATGGCTTATCAATAGAGTACTGTCACTTGTCAATTAATTTGCTGATGTAAGTTGTCAACAATATGAATTCAAGTTACATAACTTGTTTTAGTAACATATGATATTTTCAATCACTCTGTCATATTATATTTTTGGTTATTTGTCATATATAATCATTATTAATGAAGTGTCAATGGTGGCACTGTGACTTGTCAATGGTGTCCTTAAGACTTGTTAATGGTGGCACTGTGACTTGTCGTTAGTGGCACTATGACTTGTCAATGGTGGCACACTGACTTGTCGTTGGTGGCACTATGACTTGTCAATCGTGACACACGGACTTGTCATTGGTGGCAATGTGACTTGTCAATGGTGGCACACGGACTTGTCATTGGTGGCAATGTGACTTGTCAATGGTGGCACTGTGACTTGCCAATGGTGGCACACTGAGTGGATTTTGAGCACCACGGTGGATTGTTAAAGTTACAAAAATGAGGCTGAATAGTTGATATGCCTTGCTTAGAGTTCAAAGTATTTGTGAAGATTGTATGCTCTGTAGTGGTTACTATATTCCTTTATGGGGATTTCTATTTCCATATTAATGATTGCGTCTGAAAAAGAGGACGAATAAAGGGCACTTCAATCCCAAACACTTTATGGCAACACAGACTGTGTGTATTTATTTGCTGCTGTTATACTTGTCAATGACTACTCTTATAGTTGTCACTAGCAGCCTGCGTAGTTGTCACTGCATGCTCTGTTAGTTGTCACTGAATGCTGTGTTAGTTGTTATCACGTGCCCTGTTAGTTGTCACTGGATGCTATGTTAGTTGTCATCACATGCTCTGTTAGTTGTCAGTGGATGCTTAGTTGACTAGATGCTGTGTTAGTTGTCACTACATGCTATGTTAGTTGTCATTGCATGCTCTGTTAGTTGTCACTGCATGTTCTGTTAGTTGTCACTGCATGCTCTGTTACTTGTCACTGGATGCTATTACTTCACACTGGATGCTCTGTCATTTCTCACTGGATGCTCTGTTAGTTGTTAGTGGATGCTGTTTTTTGTTACTGGATGCTCTGTCCCTTGTCACTGGATGCTATGTTACTTGTCACAATATGCTCTGTTCCTTGTCACTGGATGCTGTGTTGTTAGTAAAACCTTTTGATTATGTGTTTTTTTTTTTGCAGATGAACTGTTTCCATACGATGTTGCATGCTGTTAAGCCAGAGTTGTTTGCCAATGAGGACAAAATTGGCAACGAAGTGAAATGGGCTAAAGTTTATGTGCAGAATGATACGTAAGTGTAGTTGTTCTGTTTGATTGTGTTATGTTGTGTTTGTTCATAATAAAAATTGCATGCTGCTTACATATTGAATTTGCTTGGCAGTGATTCATGTGGAGTTCATGTCCTCTCTTGGCTACAAGAGTGGGATGGCACTGTTCGTGATGCTGCAGGATATACCATGCCATGATACTCCAATGATGAATTGCAAGAGTTGAAGGTTGGCTGTTTGTGGTGGTTGGTTACCCATCCACAAAATGAACATAGGGATGAAGTGATGTCAATGCTATCGGACTTCAACAAGAGCAAGAGGAGGAGATAGAGGAGTCTATTAATTTTTTGTTCTGTTATGCCAAGATGTGTTATGAGATGATTGGCACCTAAGGGTGTGAGCCATAAGTAGCAATAGCTTAATGGTCAATAGGTCCTTTTGTAACAAACTGATCAAATTATGTTTATAATATTATTATCTTTGTTATCAGATGTTATGATACCAATTTCTTGGGGACAACTCACATTTTTATTTTTGTTGTTTTATATCTTTATTGATATCGACAAATTTATATAATATTAATAAGTAATATAACATGAGTTAATGACAAGTGATATAACAAATGAATATGTGGATATTAACAATTGATATTTAAAATTTTTACAACTGAAGGTGTTATTTATTTGTAATGTTAAGTAATATTTATATTAAAATATAATTAATCAGAAGGTGTTACTCAGAGTTATGTTCAATTAACAAGTCACTCTGCTCTATTGGCAAGTCACAGTGCTACCAGTGACAAGTCACAGTGCTCCATTGGTAAGTCACATTACCACCATTGATAAGTCACGATGCGACGATTGACAAGTCATCTTGCCACCAATGACAAGTCCGTGTGCCACCATTGACAAGTCATAGTGCCACCAATGACAAGTTAGTGTGCCACCATTAGCAAGTCATAGTGCCACCAACGACAAGTCACAGTGCCACCATTGACAAGTCACAGCGCCACCATTAACAAGTCTTAAGGACATGATTGACAAGTCACTATGCCACCATTGACAAGTCACAGTGCCACCATTGACACTTCATTAATAATGATTATATATGACAAATAACCAAAAATATAATATGACAGAGTGATTGAAAATATCATATGTTACTAAAACAAGTTATGTAACTTGAATTCATATTGTTGACAACTTACATCAGCAAATTAATTGACAAGTGACAGTGCTCTATTGATAAGCCATAACAGGCCTAATAACAATACAGGGTGCAGGTATGACAACTTAAATGACAGCAGAATCTAACATGCCAATTCATAGTCAACTTTCATTTACACCTTCATATACATGAAACTACACCTATTTCACAACCCATCCCAAAAAACACAGGGGTTGCATGTAATTATGAGAAACTAACTATTGGTGTGTATCCATTTACAAAAAATTCCCTTCACACCCATTTACAGTTTTGTTCAACTATACTTACACATCTTGCTCCTCTATTGTATTATCCCTTGTTGCTTCTATGTGGTCCTCATTTTCATTTTCTTCGACATACACATGACCACTTTCTTCATTGAACTTTATCAAATGTTCCACCCCATCATCATCTACCAACTCTACAAAAGTTTTTTTATCAAACACAACTGAGAATTTCAAAAGAAATGAGTTGCTTTCTTTTCCAGCAATTGATGATATAATTTCCTTCAATTCTTCATAACTTGTGCCCTCCTTTACATTGGTTGTTCTTACACTACCTCCCACATATCTCATATTATCTTCCCCATCATTTATAAACTTTCTCCCTACGTGAACAAAGCAAAATAGATGTTTTCCAGATGTACTTGCCATCAGTAACTTAAACCTGCATAAAGAAGCACGCAACTGTCATTGACAACTTAAGGAGCTACATTGACAAGTGTAGTAGCACACATTGACAACAATCGCGGCCTGATTGACAACACAGTCCCATTTCGTGCTAAGGGTTTCTACCCTCACTAACCTTCATCTTTTTCTTCCTTTGCCACTAAACTAACGACAGAACAGAGGAAAACCACCCAAAAACAACCCAAAAACAGAGCACCCATTATCATTCTACACACCCAACTTAAATCACAACACACACCAACCAAAAACACAGCTTTTCCATTAATTAACTTTTGAATCCTAAACCAAAAACACAAGCTTTGAAATACCATTAGTAACTTAAACCTGCATCAACCAGCACGCAACTGTCATTGACAACTTAAGGAGCTACATTGACAAGTGTAGCAGCACACATTGACAACAATCGCGGCCTGATTGGCAACACAGTCCCATTTCATGCTAAGGGTTTCTACCCTCACTAACCTTCATCTTTTTC